CACTGCTGGCATATTATGCCCTTAAATTCCAAGTTTACCTCAAAATCAAAGGGAAACCAGTTTTATAAAGTTCTAATCATGTATCTATAATATACACGTGAGAAACGAAGGAGTCAGAGAAGAACGGAATGATCCAATTGCTTTTAAAAACTGCCAGTCACATAAACCAAAAACATTTCTGTCTAAAGAACTAAGCATTAGTTTGAGAGAGAGAGAGAGAGAGAGAGAGAGAGACTGACTCAAAAGCTGCAAATTTTTCTCAGTTGATATTATGGAAGAATTCTTATGAGGCTACAAGTTCAAGTCCAGATAGAGCCATTTGGGAGGCCCTATCTCTGTCCTATTAAATCACACAGGCGTCTTTGTCCACAAGAGAGAGTGGATAAAAATAATGGGGTTGATGAGAGCAAGTCCAGGGCCAGCATGGGGGATGGGAGAGGGTTACTTCAAAGAGCAAGATTTTCTGTAGGTTGGCTCAATGGCCTTGTCTTACTGAAACTGGGTTGTTCTCATGTTTTTATGAACAAGAAATTTCTGGGATCATTTCAAAAAAACGTATCTGCATAAGGGCCATACACTTGTGGTATCAGTCATGCAAGAACAACAGCTCTTGAAGGGCCATGCGGTAATCCTCCCTGGGCCACTGGAATAAGTAAGCTGTTAGTCATAAGAGACCTAAGATATCCGAAGGGGGGATGGCAACGGCGCCCACTTATTCTTATTGTGATCCTTTCCCAACTTTGTAGCAGTACAATTAAGAATGAATCCAACAGTAGAGTCTGGGGGCTCTACGGAACTTTCCCATGCTTTCTTCCGACACCCACATGCAGATCTGAGATAGAACGCGCTTTCTAAAAGTTGACCTCTCTTGTGCTTAAAGTAAAGAGGAAAAATTTTTTACCCTTAGCTTCAAAAAGTATACAACTTAGATTAGAAAATTTAAAGTAACTTGTCAGTAAATCACACTAAGTAGCTCCTTGCACTAAAGTGAAAAGATACACTGCCTTAAAAATCTTGCTCAAAATATAAGCCATAGTCTCCTCTACCCTTGAATTAATTATTTCTGTGATTGTTTTCAAAGCGACACAGGAATGTGATGTACAGTGATTTAAGTGTGAGTTTACTGATCAGACATATCCGCCTTAGACCCTTAATTTCAGATGTCAGCAATGATAAGAAGAATCAAATTGTAGCTGTTTGTAAGCAAATACAAACATGGGAGGAGGTTACAACAAAGGTATAATAGGTATAATTCTGTCCATCAAAATCCAAACGTTGATTCCCTGAAAGTGAAAACCACACACTAGAACTCAAAGCCCAATGAGCTGTTTGAGATAAGGGAAAAAAGAACCCGAAACATTTGAATAGCAATGTCCAATAATAGAAATAGGAAAGATGAAATGCAAACAAACACCCTCCTTTCCCACCTTAAAGTCGATCCTCGGGGAAGATCACAAAGAAACACACATGCAGCCAGCAGCCAGGCTGGCCAGGTGCACTGTGGTTGGTAGAACCCAGCTGCAACATTTGTCGTTTCCTGCACTAAGCCGGCTGCTTTTCCCTCCCCTGCGCAGCTGAGAGAAATGAGATGTTTCTCTTCAAAGGTGTTAAACATTTGGGCTGTGTGAGGGACAAATGGAAGCCTGACACCTAAGATGAATAACCACAGCGCTCTAGGCCAGTGGGAACTTTCACTGTGTGAAAGCCAGCCAGGCTCGCTGCTCTCACGGTATTCAGGCACACGAGCCACGAGCGCGGGGACCCCACAGAGGAGGTAGCAAACTATTTTTTTTTCTTTTAATGTTAACCTTTACCATTTGCCGACAGGGATTTTCATAAATAAGACTCAGAGAAAGAATGGCTTGGGGGGATGCTTTTAATACACTCGCCAGGCTCTTGGCTCGGACATATTTAAGAGGCTTCTGCATCCTCGCGCTCTCTACGAAGGCAGCCAAGGTTTACTGTGCTTCCAGAACTCACACTGACACCAAACGCGTTATCAGTACAGGTACATTTTCATTAGGTCCATTTTGTCTGAAGTAAGAATTCTTATTTACCATTTTGTGAGACGCCCATCTGTACGTTTTGTGGCATAGACACACCTCTAAGAATTCCAGTTTTGGAAGAATATAATTAGCCCATTAAAATTTTCCTTCTGAAGGAAAAAAAAAAAAAAGCTGGATTTGAGAAGGTGGTTCTCCTGAGTAGATAATACTACACTCAGGTCATAAGTAAAAGCTCTTCGATCATAGGCACATCAGCGTTTGTCGCAAAGAAGGGGAAAAGCATATAGAATTGTTAGAATGAGCTACGGGCAGAAACATCTCTGTGCATGCCAGTGGCCCTAAACTGCTATTCTCCAGATTACCTGCAGTTACTACAAATGGAAGATTCTGTGTGGGGAAAGGGGCAGTCTAGGCCTTCCCCCACCCCCAGATGTTTTTCTAGCCCTAACACCTGCAGGCCTAAAGTGCAGTAAACAAGCAGTTGTTTATAATGCAAATTCAAGTAACTGGGATGCCTCCGGGCTGCTCCCACCTTAAGCCCAAACACAAATGGTCACCCTGCTCCCTGACACCCCAGATAAAAACCTATCACTGGGGATGTCAGTTACACACACGCTGGCTAGCTCGCTCTGCTAAGGACCGAGTTAGCAAGAAGGCAGAAGTGTGGTTAAGGGTGAAGGAGAGAGGCTGCCTTCCGGTTAGTGTTTTGGGTCTCAGACGCGTTAAAAAACAGCTGTTAGGTATTAAAAACCCAAGATTGCAACTCACTTCGGTTGAACCTTAAACAACAACAAAAAAAATTGGACATAGCCTTGTGGTTAAAACTGAAAAGCTTCTGGAACTGTGCAAAACTGCAGAATATCTGCAAGAATATGTGCCTAAAATAAAATGTCCTAAAATGTAACAGAATAAAGCAAAGCAGCAGATAACAGGGCAGAGTAACTACTTCCTGACCACACCCCTCTTCCACTCTACACCAACCAACATTTATTCTGGCCACAAATCTTTCCTAAACAATGAATGGCTGTTCAATTTACTGACCTCAAAATTTGAATACATACACTAACAATAAATACTGTCTATTTTCTATCAAAATTTCAAAATGATTACTATGGGGGGGAGCAAAAGCTGGAGAGAAATGCTGAAGGCAGAAAATGCTGATTGAAAGAGGAAGAGAAGCTTACTTTTCAATATTAGTAGGGATCATCTATAAATACCAATAGATTTTTTTTTCTTATAATGACTTTAAAAATTATTTTGAAAAGAGAAGTAGCTATACTATGGAACAAATGCCACAAGTACTTATTAAGCGTTAACTGTGCATAGCTGAAAAGTATAAGACTGTTTTGGTGGCTATTTCCTATTGTTTAACAAGTCAGAGACTGTAATCTAGATTTGTGAGAAAGATTATTTGCTGTTCTAAAAAGCGTTAACAAAAATCTTCAATTATTCCTTATCTAAATCATATTCTCCACCCCCTTCAAAAAAACCAAACCAAACCAAATATCCCCCCTGTAAAAGAAATATCTGATATGTTTGTATGTTCAGTTCAACAAATATAGAGTCTCCTACAAATTTTAAAACTTAGAGAAGCATTTATTTGGCAGCGGTCTCTAAATATTAAACTGTATTACGCGCTCATTCACTTTTTTAGGTAGGAGGTTCATATTTACCACACAGGAATCTCTATCATTAAATATTTAAAAAGCCTTTTAAAATAAAATGTGAAATTGCTATTTCAACCATCACAAGATCTCCAAGGTCACAATTTTTGGCCACGATATAAAAATTATAAAAATTTTAATCCCTACTCGAAAGTCAAGCATGTTTTTGAAATCTGTGGAAAAATAATGACAATAACTTCTAAATCATAGTGCCCACATAAAATAGTTCTGTTTCACATACCTATCATGTCGACAATTGAGTATCGTGGATAATCAAAATAAACACTCATACTCTTGACTATGACTCATTCCTCTCTGCAATTTTGGTGAATCTTCTCGACCCCAGATTCTGCTCACGGAGGGATTAATGACAGTACTTTCCCCAAATGCCTGTGACTGATTTTTTTCACTGAGTGGAAGAACTGGACTAATAAGGCAAAAATCATAGGTGCCTTTTTATGATCAGGATCTGGCTCCGGGGAGGGACAGGTAGACTGAAACCCTAATCCCCAAGGCCCAGGCATTCATGCTTTTCATACACTTTTAGGTGGGAGAGGGAGAGGGAGACGGAATGAAGGTAAATATATTGATGGAGCACTAAACATCAATCCCCACGCTGCAGGGCCGGTTCCCAGGGAGCACAATCGCCAGCACATCTCAGGTTCACACACTACACAAGTTACCCTTTAGATGCTCTCTTAATGCAGAGATGAGGGAGGTTTCCCCTTCTCAGCCACAGAGAAACACGGTCACGTAACAGATCTGGACTTCTTCATGGTGCTATACATTTGCAACTCACATTTGCAACAATGGACAGTAGAGTAAAAATAGCTTGTCGCAACTGATTTTAAAAGAAACATTCGCTAATACAATAAAAGGAGGACTCCGTTTTAGAAGCTAAAGAAATCTTTCGAATGTTCAGCTTCAAATGAGCCAAAGTGTTCTGATTCTATATAGCTTAAAGGCAATGTAGATACAGCATGTAGCTAACTGAAAGAGTAAATCAATTTTTCTTCTCATCAGCACAGAAAACACAATACTCATAAAATTATAAGTTTGTTGACTTAACTTCAGTTGATTTCATGACAATTGGTGATCTGTTATTTATTAATCTTAACCAATAAAAAGCTAAAATTCCAAATACAAGACATCAAAGTTAGCACTCTTTTAAAGCAGCCATTCCTCATAACAGGTCTTATTTAGCAATGACTGGTCATATATAATGAAAGCATCTCCAATGTGCTTAAAATAAACCAAAACCATTTTTTTTCCAAAATACAAATTAATGTGCTCTTCTGAAAATAATTTGTAACATCGGCATGTTACTCACTGTTCTCGGAATGGGTGGAGAGAGAGATCCATTTGACATGTATGGGTCATTATTCATATTTGGCATCATTATGTACC